TTATTTTTCATGATCTTTCAAATGAGACCAATATTGCCTATGTAATTTTAACATATTAACATTTGTGTGTAAAATATGTAACTTTAAGTGTTAAAATATGTAACTCACGTTCAGTCAAGTCAAATGCAACTCGTGTGTATAAATATGTATCTCTACGTGTAACAATATGTAACTTTACGTAAAAAAATATGTAACTCGCATTTAGACAGGTCACATGCAACTCGTGTGTATAAATATGTAACTCGCGTGTATAAATATGCAACTTTACGTGTAAAAATATGTAACTTTACGTGTAAATATATGTAAGTCGCGTTCAGACATGTCAAATGCAACTCGTGTGTGTATATATATATGTAACTCGCTTATAAAAAGATGTAACTTGCTTATAAAAAGATGTAACTCGCTTATAAAAAGATGCAACTTGCTTATAAAAAGATGTAACTCGCTCATAAAAAGATGTAACTCAATGTATTATCAAATGTAACTGAGGCCACTGATCCACTCCCAAACAGATTCGATCTTCTATTTCACAAACCTATCATCTCCCAAACAGATTCGATTTTTCTTATAATCCAATACTCATTAATATAATAGTTCGATAATTTCTTAAAATTACATACACAATAATGGTCTCATTTGAAAGATCATGAAAAATAAAAAATGTTGATATAAATTTTATAAAAATCGGATCAAAAATAAAAAAGTTATTATCATTTTTAACATCAAAAGCAAAAAAAAAAAAAGAGATAAGCTGCGTCGTTTTTGCAACCGGGCGCACCATCCTCATGGTGCGCCGGTTGCACCATATAATTTACGTTTATTTAGACAGTATTTTGGGAAAAACTTTTAATCTAACAATAATTTGGGAAATACTTTTTTGTTTGACATTATCACGGGAAAAAACTCATATTTTAGTCCGTGTAACATATACTAAATTTTTTTCCCAATTTGCGCTGCTACTTTTTTGTTTCCAATTTGACCTATTCCCCGAACCAAAAATATACTCCGTGTAACATCAAACATACGATATTTGCACTGCCAATTTGGGGAACGTGGATTCGTATTTTTGTACAGGATTAGGGATTTAGGGTATAAGCAAGATTTTTACACTGAAATAAGGAGAGATGGGAGGCAAAGGACAGAAGAGAAGGGAGAAGAACTACAGAGAATCACATGGAGGAAGTGCCAGACTCCCTCCGCCACCCGACCCATCATCCGTCGATGCTCTCCCTTCAAAGCTCCTCAAACTAATGGCCCTGACGGGTTAGTTAGCATTCTACATTTATACATCTAACTCAAATACAATGCGTACATAAATAGATACTCCGTGTGATAGATTAACTTGGAGGATGGCTTTTAGGCTAATAGTTTTTACACTTTATAGTTTATTGTTAATCTGTTGATTTGTTCTTCTGTTTTTGAATTCATTTTCCCTGTTCTTAGAAGCTATAAAGAAACCACCAAAAAGCAGTACAAAAGGAAATGACGGTGTTAGAGAGGTACAAAAAGCTTAATGTTTTTAGGATTGTGCTTTCACTAATTGTATTTCCGTATGTTTATCAGTTTGGGTTGGCCTTTAGTATGTAAATAGATGTATTGTAATCTGCTTAAAAGAAGACTTAAAAGAAGACAATAAAGAAAAATTAAACCATAGGTAATCTGTGAAGTTTACTGTTTGCATAACCTTTAAGTAAACCCAATATATCACAGCTCTCTTGGTCACCCCCTCACAGGTTTCTCTGCACATTTGTGTAGCTGTTGAGGATTTGATTTTCAATAGCAAGTCATGAAGTCATCCAATTGTTCTGTCTGACTCTGCTCTATTTGCTTCTTGTCAACAGATGCCTCATTTGGAAGAGAAAAGCACTAGTAAAATGTCTGGGGTCAAAAGAAAAACCAGTGATGAGAAGCCAGTAGAAAGTAGCGTTCCTGAAAAGAAAAGTAAGAAGAAAAGGAAAAAAGCAAATGATCTTCGATTTGAATCAACTGAAGAATTTGGCGGAACTAGTTCGAAAAGAAAGGAGCGCAGGAAGCAGTACATTTTTAACACTTTCTGTGCTGAGTTTTCTTTTGTTGTTCTCTATGTCCCCTTCCTAGAAGGTTTCTTGAGAATAGTTATTAGTTTTGTTGAGGTTTTTTGGCGAGGGCAGAAGTGTATTTGCTTTTTTACTGAAGACAGCTGCAATTATGTGAATAAGAAATAGATGTGTTATACTTTTCATTTTTATTTACCTATTTCCATATGGTGACCTCAAGCTCTAAACTTGTGATTGTTGGAGTGGCTTTTGTTTTATATGTTGAATTGAATTGATATTGTTTTAAATAATACAGGCGTTTGAAGGACAGGAAAAAGAAGGGAAAGACACCCAGTACACAAGAAGCTTTTGACTATCCTAAGCATGAGCAAATAAAATTTGGGGAAGTAGTTGATGCTCCTCCAAAGTTGGTTGCTCTCCCAAAGGTAGATATAACTTTTTTAATAACTAGAGAAATGCAAACTATGTTGCATGGACTAGAAAAAAACCATATCTATGTCTTAAAATAAATATATGAAGACACATCCTTTTTTCATCAACTCATCTCTATGTTTTTAAATAATACCATGGGATATAATTTAACAGTCCTTGTTGATATAAAATAATATGAATAATGCCGAGTAATAATGAAGTTTAACCATTGGCTTCAGCTTGTAGTGAAGCTTATAGATGTAATTCACATTTATCTCGAGAACCTTATATGAGATGTATGATTTCCTACGATGTTAATGTGTTTTATCAATGCCATCTTACTCTTAATTGAATGCCTTAATGTGTGTAATGAAAGGCACGAAAGATGGCAATGGAAGCTTCACAAGAGAGACTTCGCCTAAAAGCAGTTGATGCCTACAGGAATAGAAAGGGATGGGCCTCAAGGCCAGGCATTCATCTCACTCCACCGGTCCACCCATAACTGTATTGCCATCGTTGTAGCTGATTGACTATGTAACGTGTTTTAAAAATCAATCATGTTTTTGGCTTCTCATTTTTATTGCTCAGTTTTTTATCCACTCATTAACATCAAGTAAGGTAGAAGTTGTTATTCCTTTTTGCTAAATGACTTCGTCTATGACAATGCAATCACGGATGGAGGTGTGAACGGGAGTTTTGTACTACTTCTGTCCCAAAAAGATCGATACATTTTGACTTTTCTTGGTCAATGGTGGTAAAATTTAGACAATGATATTAGGTATTATATTTCTTTTTAATTTATAAATTTTAATAAAGAATAAATGTTCATATAATTTTCATATTTTAAATAATTTTGTATTAAAAGATATCATTGCTCAAACGTAACCATCATTGATCAAGAAAAATCAAAATGTATCAATCTTTTTAGGACGGAGGGAGTAAATAATAGTAACCGTACCATGGGGTGTTGTGGAAGGGAAAACAGGGACATGGAGATGAAGGTGTACATGAATCAATCGAATAAACAAAAATGAGGGCTTGTTTTTATGTCAGTGATAATGTCAATATAATTAGCATTAATCCGATTTTGAAATGCAAATACATCAATGGATATTGATGTTAAGAAATACAACAGTAAGTTCATATCACGAACCATAGAAGCCTAATACATTCCGATGTCTTGTCTTGATATGCTAAAGTGCTAAACTAGGGGATGGACTGAGACAGGCCAGTCCAACCTGGGAGTTGGATTTTGGAGGGGAGGGGAAGGTTAATGAGGGTTTATGACCCTTCTTTTTATGTTTTGGAGTTCAAAAAATCGGAGGGGATGGTTTTGGAGGGCTTTTGTAACCCTTCAAAAGTCAAAACCCTCCAAATGCCTAATTTTTAATTTCGCTCAATTTGGATGATTTTGGAGGATAATTAACAAAATGACAATTTAAGCTAAATTAAAAATGAATATCAGCTCAATGATTTAAATTCATCATATCTCAAAGTGATTTTAATTATAATTTCTTCAAAAACCTTCCCCTTCCAATTTTGTTACTCCCAAATACAAAGGACTTCATCACCCTCCCCTCCCTTTCCCTCCAATAACATACCTCCAAAGCTTTCCCCTTCCCTTCTCTCCAAACTCCCAAACATACCTAAACGTATGAGGAGACCAAACAAAAGAATAAGCAATCGAAATTTCGGTGAGGAATCTCCTCCAAGCAAGAGTGCAAGACAACGAATACAATTAAGAAATAAAATTAAGATGATGTGGAATAAAACCTTCTTCACCTCTTTAATTTAAGCAAGTATCTCTTGGTTTACTACTTAGCTCAAACTCATCTATGCTACAACCGCATCTCATTCCCAAACAAGTGGAGCTAAGTTTTTACAATTTCAAATAAGAAATATTTAGTACAAAGGAAACGAAGAAATGATAATGTTGCTACCTATGAGTAGTCTATGACCCTCTACTCTCAAGTCTCATCCACATAAACATGAGGACATCAGGTGATCCTCATATAATGATATGTGACAAATGCTTAAAACATCATTTACAATCATTCATTCTTTTCAGAAACACCATTATATAGTGTCAAAGATACTAGTCATTGTTACCCGCACAAGTAGCTCAGTTGGCTGAATTATGAGAAAATTGGAAGATTGATCGAGGATCGAGGCTCACAACGACCATGTCGAGATTATAGCTCCTGAACTAGTCCTATATTGTGCACGAGTACAAGATATATCACCTTGGGTTGAGTGAGTGATTGTGACTTACAACCTTCCAAATGTTTTGTCAACCTGTCAGGTCGGGATGTAGAGACCCTTGGGGTTAGGGATTCAACCTTTCGGAGGATTGAGATACTAGTCATTTATAAGGTGGGAAGAAGTGAAATATATTCCGAATGAAGATCTATATATCCCAGATTTTATATACCCAAATGGCCCTGATAACAGATTTCATGTACCCAAATGGACTTAGCTGCATTAAGCTTTATAAGATGTAAAGATTACTATTATTATTACTAGTATTAGATAAACACTTGAATATTCGAATCGCTCCAGTGCTAAGTTGATACTAGACTCTATTGCCATTCCTCACAGTAGTTCCCGCAACAAATAATACTGTTGGATAGTTTGAAATGAAGAGTTTGCAGGTCACAATCCTAAAAACATTTTCACATAGCATTCCAATGAATTAATTCGACCAAGTATAACAGGTTTTCACAATCAAAAATTGTTGTTACTACCAGACTGTGTGCAAGACTCATAAAAGAGTCTTACAGTGGAGAAGATTAGAGAAGGCTCAGCCATGGCCCCATTTCCATAATCTCCACAAGCGAGTCTCTTTGATACTGGTGGGATAAGAGAAACTCCGAACTCATCCATCACCATGAGATGTCTCTCAGTGAATGAATTAGTCCACATGAATGTGTTCATGGCAGGAGCAACAAAAAGTGGTTTACTATAGTCCCATGCCCGCACGATGCATGTCAACAAATTATCACACAATCCCCCAGCAATCTGAAAAATGATTGAGGTCATTAGACAACTCAGAAATTGCCGTATGAATTTTGCAGCACAATTCATGCGTATCATACATATTATATATATAATCAGATGGAAAATACAAAACCTAGGCTGTGTTATGTACTTCTGTTACAGGAAAAATATGTTTTGTTTCATACTTTTTGAGGAAATTGTTTTCACGGAAAGGAATAAGTTGCTCTTCTTATTCTCTATTCCATGTGTCTCCCCCAACCAATAAAAAATCCAAAAATACTTTTGTCTAATTGTTCTTTTTAGCAAAAGAAGCTGACACTTCCATTGAATTGAATGTGATTCTTACAAAATACAAAAGTGTTCCCACAAGTTGTACATTCATTTTTAGTTATAACTTATCAATTCTGCATAATATAACTCATCAAGACGTTATACTCTACAGTAGAATTGACAAACGACAACTTGCAGTAGATAAACAAATCAAAACAATAAACTTGTAAATTGACTACCCATGACTCACTTTTCTTAAGGGAGTTGTTATAGTTGACAGAAAAAAAACAGAAAACATTTAAGTGTACTAGCTCCTCTTTGGCTTGGTTGGTTTGTATTGCAAACCACCACATGAAGACTTCAAAGTTGGAATCATGATTTACAAGGCGCTTAAGAGGTGGGTTTTGAGGCACGCCTCAAGGTGAGACATACAGATTGGGTATCAGGGCTTAGGTTTTTTCACAGGTTAAGAGGCTTACGCCTCAAAAGTTGAGGTGTACACCTTGAGGCGCGCCCTGAGGTGTTTTTCATTTGTTTCTCTGTTTTCAATGTGCAGTAACTTAAAAAATGCCCAAGGCATTTCATTTAATAAAAGGCTCAGAGTACTTTTTAAATAGAAGTCCATTAATTAAGCATGTGACCACACTAAACCCTAACAAGTCTTATTTCATTTAAACCCTAACAAGTCTTTTATCCATTTAAACCCTAAGTCCTTGATGTATACTTTCTATTCATCTTTCAATTTGTGTGTGATGTTTCTGTGCGTGATATGTCTGTTTGTGTGTGATGTTTCTGTTTGTGTGTTTGAATTCTAATGACTTACTGGTATTAGCTCATATGTGATTGTGTTTCACACTTTTTGGACTTCTTATAATTATGGATATATCCTTTACTTCTTTAGTTGTTTGTTACTAGTTTAACTATTTTAAGTCTTATACGCCTATATATTTTGAGGCTTACGCCTCAATACACCTCAAGGCTTACGCATCGCCTCTCAGGAACAAACCGCCTTGATACCCGAACCCACCTTTTTAAACCTTGGTTGGTATTAGAAGTTAATGTCTATATGATTCCTTTTTTTCAAAAGGAAAAGTTGTTTTTCCAGAAAAACTCAAAGAATCTCATGAAGGAAAATACATTTATGTACCACACACAAGAAAATCCAGAGAATAATCTCATGAGAAAAAGAAAGCTTAATACTACCTTGGCAAGCGTGTTTGCTGACAAAGGAGCAATAACCATAATATCAGCCCAACGGCGGAGCTCAACGTGTAACACGCTATCACCAATCATCTTCCACCCGGACCATTCATCATCATCTGTGTATAGAACAACGTCCTTCGGAAGTGAAGGTTTGTCTATGAAGTGTAGTGACGACTGTGTAGCAACAGCTTTTACTTCTGCCCATTCAGAAAAGCAACGGCATAGATTCGAAAATTTGATAGCGGCAACACTTCCGCTTGCAGCAAGCAGTATCCGAGGCTTCCTGACAGCACTGTTAGTTGACGACTGCTCCATATCTAAATCCACACCATCCGATTGTGCCATAACCTATCAGATGTCAAATGAGCTTTAAATGGTAGGCTAAAGTTCTTAAGTACAGTTTTAGGTATTTCAGTGTTTCTGTTACTCTGCCCCTAAATTTCAGCTTTTTTTAGTTCCTCAAAATGATGTGGCTCATAAAACTACCGCCAAATTCTTATTTCTCAAACAATATGACTTTCTCTAAGTATGTAACTCATCTGTGACTACTAGGAGAGTAAAGACTAAGAAAAATTCATCACTCCCATTTTCATTTTAGATGTCTCTAAAAATGATAAGTTTAGCATTTCAAAAGATAAATATTTGAAACATGGCAACATGCTCATGTTTGTGCTTGTGCATGTTGTTCGTTCGCCAGCAGAAATGCTGGGTGCTTCTTTCTCATGAGAATCTCAGACAGTTCAATTACTTCAATGCATTAAGGTCTATTATGCTTGGTTACTACACACGAGAAGATCTAACTTCTACGTAGGACTTACATATGAAAGAATGGCACAAATATTACCTATAAGGTTTTAATAGACAAAAATATGACCATTTTTAAACACAACTAAAAAGTGACCATATCTATTTCTGTTTATGGGCAGCGGCAGTGACATCCGACACTGACATGAAAATTGAATAGTGACATAAATATTTGGCAGTCACTTTATATTATTCCAAATATATAACTATTTTAGTCAATTTTTTGTACAAATATAAATGTGGTCACATTTTTGGAAATCATCTTTTGTTTAATAATTTGAATATTCCATACTTTGAAGGGGTGTGACATAAGTACCCCAAACTTGCACATGTAATATATATACCCCAAACTTTATATAAAAAATTATTTTAGCATTATGATCATATATTTTTTCATAAATGTAATTTTTTTGTGTTAAGTATATAATTTTAAATACACAAAACATTTACGAGGATGTAATTAAAATTAAATTGTACCGGATGTAATATTATTTATTTCACAAATAATATTACATAATGTTAATTGCATTCTAACAAGGGTGAAGGTATATTAAATTATATAATTATTTCAATGAATTTGTATTTGTAAAAATCATATAATTATGGTGTGGAAATAACTTTTTACATAAAGTTCGTGGTATATATATTACATATGCAAGTTTGGGGTACACACCTCACACCCCATTAAAGTTTGGGGTATTTAAATTATTTTCTCCTTAAAATAATCAATGGTAGAATTGCTATATTTAAAAGTCAGATTAGGCTGAAAATCAAATGGTATAATTGAGGTAGTAAACAAATGGTTGATAATCATTCGTTCCCAGAGAAGAGTGGAATTAGGTTACAAATTAAATAACGCGAGGAACTGAGCAGCCGAGCAGTAAACAGGAGGTAAATTTGAGGTGCAGTAACCAAATGGTTAGTAATCTCATAATCATCATTCATTATAAGAGAAAAGTGGAATTAGGTTACAAATTAAAAAGTATGGGGAATTACGCAGAGAAATCTTGCACACGAATTGAGAAAGGAATCGAGGGATTAACAATTTAGCATTAGCTTTTACCTGAAACGGGACGAGGAGTGAGTGAATGACGGACTGACGGAGAGGAGTGATGCGAGGTGCGATCCGGCAAGGTGCGAGGACAGGCCTGATAGCGGCGAGCAGCCGCGGTCAGCGGCGGCCGCGCAGGCGACGCAGCGGCACTGGACGGGGGACCGGCGCTCTCGACAGATCGACTCCCAGATGGGTGACTTTGGTTTCGCGAGTTGAACGTGTAACGGGAAGAAAAGAAAAAGTAAGGGGTATGGGTGGGGGTGGGGTAAGGGGTATGGTCAGGGGTGGGGTGGTAAGGTCTAGGGGTACGGGTTGGGTGGGGTAGTGGGTGGGTTAGGGTGGTGGTTAGGGATAAGAGTAGGGGTAGTGAGTAGGGTTGGAGTTGGGATAAGGTAGGGGTAGGGTAGGGAGTTGGGATAGGATGATGGTAGGGTGGGGCCGAGGTAAGGGAAGGGGTAGGGTGGGGGGGGTAGGATGGTGGTGGGGGTAGAATGGCGGTAGGGTGGGGCCGAGATAGGGGGCATGTGGGAAGGGGTAAAGGGTAATATACGAGGTGAGGGTAGGGTAGGGTGGGTCGGGATGGGGTTGAGGTGGTAGGGGGGTGGCGGTAGGGTAGGGTGGATCGGGGTGGGACCGAAGTAGGGGCATGTGGTAGGGGTGGGGGTAGGGTCATTGTAGGGAAAAGGGGTGTGCTGGGGGTTGGGTGGGTAGGGTAGGGGTAAGTGGTAAGGTACGAAGATGGAGGTACTAGAATGGAATCAGCGTCAGAGCGGAACCGGAACCACCACTAGGTCTAAGTATGCAAATTTGGAAAACTAGTAAAATTCACTTTCTCCAAATCATTAAGAAAAAGAGAGACATGTCTCATTTTTTTCGTTTTGGAAAGTGATTTGGTAAACGCGTTTTTCTGTTTTCCTTTCTCCAGTTTTCAAGCAATTTTCTTCGGTAAACACGTTTTCTGTTTTCCAGTTTTCTAATTTTCTTGAAAACTAGAAAATATCTCTGTTAGTAAACAGGTCCTAAGTTTGACTTGCTTTATACTCCGTGCTTCATATTAAATGAAGTTGGATGATTATTTTAGTTATTTTTTATACGTAGTATATTGTTATCTTTATTTTATTAATAAAATACGGAGTATATTTTAAATATAATTTTTTATAAATCAGCAGAATCAGCACAATTCAATCAGAACTTCATAAATTTTAGCAGAATCAATCGATTTCAGTGTTACCAAACAGGCTCGAAGATTGTGGAGGTGTAAGAGCATTTTCAATGCTATGAGTGCATTGGTGATGAAGTGGCAAAAAAAAAATGGATGGAGTCCATTAGATATGTGGGTCAAGATTTATTTAAAAGAGGGGTCTATCAAAATAATACTCCAATGCAAAAACAAAAACAATTAAATAAGAAAGAGAAAAGTTTGTCCATTTTTCAATTGTTATTTCACCTAGACTTGGTCTAGTTTATTTTGCATTGGAGATGGGATTTAATGATTTATATTGTTGATGATGTTGAACTACAATGGACATCTCTATTAGAGATCCCTAAAGGACACATGAATTCCGAACTCGGAGGTTCGAGCTACTGAAGCATAAACGGGATAAGGGTAAATTTGGAAATAGTTACGAATAAATCTCATATTGGGCACTAAGGTTTCAAATTGATCAAATTTAACGTTTTTCTGATTAAATTTTGGACACCCACAAAAAAAATTACATTTGAAAGCCACAAGTATTCCTTTTCCCCCTTGTTTTATCGACCTAAAAATAAAAATAACTTAATTCGTGTATTTAGATTTAGAATATATGATTAGATGTTCCCATTAAGAAAAACTATTATAACGTAATTGAATTCTTTAATATTATTAAATCAATTTAACAAATCCATATTTCCCAAGGTTTCATAAAAATCATATGAATGAAAAGTTCTGAATTCAACTTTAACTTGTTAAATACGAAGTATAAGAAGTTATTAATAGACACTCACGTAGTCACGTATGATTCTCTTGCTCAATTTTTTAACCAACTTATGGCCTAATAAGTGATGTAATTTAATCTTATACTTAAAAGTACTGCATATGATAGAAGAAATTATCCCGCTCAATTGTTAGCCTACTTATGATCTAATATGTAAAATAATATAATTTAATGTCTAAAAGCACTACATATGAGATAGAAAAGTCTACCGCTCGATTGTTAGTTGGCTTGAGGCTTGATATGTAATTTAAATCTAAAGAATTCTTCATCTCAAATAAGGTGGCCAGACAGCAGTCATGTCAGGTAACACCTGACAAAAATATTTGTGTATCTACAAAGCTAAGTATATACGTAGTATTTGAACCAAATTATTCATTTATTCCCACTGTATTGAAATGTTTGTTGCACTCTTCTTTTTGGAATGTATTCTAATTTTTTCTACACTTTCCCTTGTGGCAAATTTTCTATTTAAAATACGCAATTACTCTTACTTTCAATGCAGAGAGGAGAGGTATATCTTATTGATATAATAGTTACATACTCTCCCCCAAAATGAAGTTCCCGATTTCATCAATACATGCATATATTTAAGTAAGTTAAAATTTTGTTTTGACTTTCAAAGTAATCATCTACTTTATGTCAAATCAAATAAAACGATGACAAAGGGTTAGTGTATTTAAGACTTTTTACTTAAAAGCGGTTTCTTTTTATCGAAATGAGAAGTCGAGAACTTCATTTTGAGACATTTATAAAAAAGGAAAGCGCATCCTTCTTTTTGAGATAGAGAGAATATATTGCATGGGGAAACTATTCTAGATATGATTAAAACCATTCTGAAATTCCATAATAAAACTGCTATGTTTTTATTTACGAAATATAAGTAATTACTGCCATGTTTTGGCGGTATCGGACTTTAACATGACAATATTTTCCAATCTTGGCAGCAATTAATCTTATATAGAGAATAAAAATATGACGGTCCTATTTTGGAATTTCTAAATGTTTTAACTTCTATTTCGGAAATTTTCCCTAATGAAACATAATAATATTTAGATAGAACACATTTATATTATTCTTCACCATGTGTTATAATTAGAAAAATATCATTTGTACACACTTTTTTGTATACTCTCTTATACACGTCGGTAACATGTTTTGTGTGTGTGAACAAGGTATTCACAGACAAAAACTCCCATCAACATGTGTAAGAGTGTGTACAAAAAAGTGTGTACAAGAGGAACTATTTTTATATTTATACGTAGTATTATATAATGTCATCATATATATTTTTCGCGTAAATGTATGATATATAATCGAACAGTACGAAACAGACTAGTTCACTAGAACTGGCCTGGTATTGGCATTTGGCACATCACATGCAAGGCCAGAGCTAGAGGGGGCCAACCTTTCCACCTCTACAATAAGATTTAATAAAAAAGAAATAATTACAAATCTATAACTAAAATTAAGATTTTCTACAAAAATGTGACTAGTGATTAGAGTAGTAACAAAATTATAGTAATTTAAGTTCAATTTTTAAACTTAAGTTACTATAACACTACATTGTAGTCTTTTAATCATATTTATGTAAATGAGTTTTATTTTGGTAATATTTTTGAAAAAATGATAGTGAGCATTGTGTTTATTTGAGAGCAAAAATCAAGGAACTTGAATTAACATTCGATGGGCCTACACAAGTCATCATCCATGTAGATTTTATTAAGAGTAATTGATAATTATATTTGCCTCTCACTTTTTTCATCATTACCATATCTACATAATTAGAATCTCCTATTAAAAAACAAATACCACAACAATAAAAATAAGTAAAAAATGTAGAGCTTTAAAAACATTTAAATTTATATATATAAAGAAAAGATCATATGAGAAATTGGTGATCCATGCAGGTTTTGTGTTGATTGTTTTAGATCATTCAAAATATATTACAAATTATTAGGACTAAATAATTTGCTCCCTTGGATTGATACATGAAAATAATGTACGGTAAACAAGAGGCCTACCATTCCAAAGTGGATGAGAAAAGTGGCTAGATGGGAAAATGTTTTCACACCAATTTTGTTGAAATTTTGTTCTGAATCTACCGTGTCCAAAGTTTCTTTCCTTGTGCCTTTTTTGAACCGGGAACCCAATTTAAGTTGAAATTAGGATGCAATACTACCTTTGTAAATAAAATACTATCACGATCACAACACGATATTTCAAAAATATACGTAGTATATGATGACCATTTTTGACTTTTGCATTAGTGTAAGATGCTTTTCTAGATTAATTAGGGACGTGCTTGTTAAAGAATATTGGAAATCTTTTGATTCACGAGTTTATATGAATTCCTATATATATACTCATTCTTGTGCACAATGTGATAACATGATTCTATATTCTACCAATCTACCATGCACATACAAAAGATATATTATAAGTGTACATGTAATTCAATTCATTGTTACTTACTCCCTCCGTCTCACAATTAAGTTCCTAACCGCACTTTTTGGGTCAAACTTTATAAACTTTGATAGTTAATTATTCACAATTTACATTACTTTAGCATACAAAATTAGTTTTATATACTTCATCAGAATATATAGTATTCAAATATTAATTTATATCATATTTTATAAGTATATATTTTTAGACATTTAGGGTCAAACGTCAACCTTTTTTTTAAGAAAAGAGGATTTTATTGAGAAAAGGAAATAATAAAATGCGAGAAAGGAAAAATGAGAAAATATACATAAAAAGAAAAAAAACTACTCCCAAGGGAAATCTCTGGACTTTGACCTAGTCCTCATGCTGTGGCTCCTTTTGTTTTTTGAGATTTCCTATAGATTTTGAATTGTGTGTTCAGTTGTTTGTTGGCAAACAATTTTCATAAGTTACAAATTTTGCTTTAGAGCAAATATCCATATTGAATTTGGATTTTCTAATTTCTTCGGGGTATGAGATAGGAGGACGACGATCGCTTTCAGTTGCGTGTCCAAGAAAGTCGTATGTGAAGAACGAGTCATCAGAATAATCAAAACTGTCAGAGGCGTCTGAGTAAGCCTGGATCAGTGACAACTCGGGTCGTATCTTGGAAGATAGGACATTTTGATTTTCTGTACATTCACTCTGAATCTGAGAATTTAAGATCAGTTTGGAGATGGATGTGGGATCCTCAGATTCAATTGTGTTGGTACATTTTGAGTCAAACGTCAACCTAGAAGACCATAAAAGTCAATCTGAGAACTTAATAGGGAGACAAAGGGAGTA